ATATATTACTGAAGAAATATTTTAATAATATATAACTATAAAGTTATCTTTAATTTCATTTATAACAAAATCTGTTGAGAAAATATCTAACAAGATCTTACCAAGAAAGTTAAATATTTTTATAAAATATATATTATTTAATTTCGTGATTAATATATATATATATATATATATATATATTAATGTTAATTAAAAATAAGAATTGTTATATTTTATAATTTAATGATTTTCTATATTATATTAAAATAAAATGCTATGTGAAATTAATATAAAAATATATTAAATTGATAAAGAAAAATATTTTATTTTAAAATTTTCTTTTATTCACTGTTAAAACATATTATTTTTTTTAAAACATGTAATATTTTTATACAAAAAATGTTGACATATATTTTTGTAATTCACAACAAATACATTATCTAAAAAAATATATTTGATATTTTTAAAAAATGACAACAATATATTATATAAAATAATTAAAATAATAATATTCTATAGTTATACAATATAAAAATAAGATGTAAATGATATATCTGAAAGATTTTGTTATATTTTTTTAAAATGAAAATTACCCGCACGGATGTGCGGGTTCAAAATCTAGTCTTCTTTACTAAAAAAGTACAATTTTTATCTACTATAAGAAAGTCATAGTATGGCCATTCATTATAACATATATGATTAATTACATTAATCATTTATATATATATATATATATTATTAATTCATACAGATACTAATAAGAAATATTTTTAACAATAAATCAGCTAAAACAAAATCTGTTTAGAAAAATCTAACAAAATCAAGATAAGAAAAATAGCACACGCACTTGTTAAGCGCGGATCAAAAATCTAGTTTCCAATTATAACATACCAACAACCTTAATGAAAACGGCTATAAACATAATTTGTCAAAAAAAAATCTAACAAAATCGTACAAAATATTTAAAATATTTTTTCATAAATATTACATTAATTAATTTCATAATTAAAAATGTTATATTATTATAAATTATTCTTAACTAAAATTAATTTTATTATAAAACAGGAAAATAAAGTTATAGGTTACTTTATCCGTATTATTTTAGTAAATAATTTTATATTAGTAAGATTTTGTTATATTATTATAAATTAATGTATAAAATTTACCAAAATAATAGGAATACATTAATTAAATAGAAAAATTTATTTATTTATAAAATTCCACAATATACATAATATGATAGATACTAAAATATAATTTTTTAAACACAATATGAAAATATGAATTATCCTAAGAGTATATCCTTCCCATATAATAATTTAATAAATTATAAAATTTATTGTATGAAAATATAGAAATTAAAAATATTATATTTTGAAAAAATATTCTCTATTTGATTATTTCAGATTAGAAATTTATTGTAACAAACTCAAAAATATATTGATATGGAATTACAATTAAAAACAAAGTAAAGGGTATAAAACTAATTATTATATACTAATAATTTCGAGTGAAAAACCTTACATAATATATAACAATACAATGTAAATTATATATTTAAATAACTTACGATAGTATCAAAGTTATATGTTTGTAAAAATAGATATCTACACAGACGTTTAGGTCAAATATAGTTTATTTTATTAAAATAGAAATCATAACCTCTTTCATGTGTGATATTTAAAATGGATTATTCTCTAGATATTTTTTTAAAATAATTATAAAGAAATTATATCATATAATTTGATAATTCAAATAAATATTACTGCCTTAATAATATTTCCAAAATCTACAGAATCTTTGGTTGAGTGTAATGTATATAATAGTATTTAAAATGGTAATCTATTATTATGCAACAACTTTTTTTTTTTGACATCAAAAGGCTGACCACTCAAGCTTGAGGTGGTCTGGGGAGCCGGACCGGAATAGAACAACCAACGTACAAAAGATCACGATAAAAAGCTCGAGCCGATTTAGCTAAAGAATCAGCAACAACATTTTGTATCCTTGGAACATTGGAAATCTTAAAATTGGGGAAGCAGATCCGCAGCGTCGAGAGCTTTTCCAATTACGTTGAGAAAATTGGCCAATCTTGAGGATTCCTAAGCATCGCTATCATCTCCTTGCAATCTGTCCCAAAGCTCTGACATGGCGAATGTTGAAGCATGTTCTCCATTGCCCACCGCAGTGCTTCCAGCTCAGAATGCAGAGCAGACTCAACTCTACTGGAGTTGCGCATACCCATCAACTGACTATGACCCCTGCTATCAGTCCAACCCAACCACATCTACTGAACTGAGCTGTAGAGGTCCAGGAGCCGTTTACCAGAAAAATATTCCCCAGACTTATGGCCTGGTTTTCATCACCTAAGGTTTCTTGAGAAGACAGAGTAACCTGTTCATTTTCCTTGAACCAGGCTTGGTATTCACTCTCAGCATATCGTGCTAGCTCCAAAGGATCCCTATCTATCCCTCTGAACAGTTTATCGCTCCGGGCTTTCCAAATATACCATTTTAGTCAGGGATAAAGATCCATGTCCAATTCTGGTTCTATTATGACATTTTTCCTCCAGAAAAGATAATTCATATTCGCATACGTACTCTGAAGTGGAAACAAAGCAGAGTTGGTACGAGTAGAAGATAGGGCCCAGACTTGCAACGCAGGTGGGCACTGAAAAATCGCATGGCCAACTGATTCATCTGGTTCTCCACATCGTGGACAGTGATTATCACATCTCATATGCCTATGGTTCAAGGTACTTGTGACAGCCATATATCATGTTATTATTTGCCACATAAGATGGCACATCTTCTGAGGCGCCTTAACCTTCCAAGCATGTGCTTGTAGTTTTATAAGACTAGGTTCTCAAACTTCAGTTTCCTCCTCCTTCATCAATATGTTCCGTGCAACCCAATATCCAGATTTGACTGTGTACTGACCATTTCTTGTATAGATCCAGCAAAACGTGTCCCTACGATGTGTTGAACTAATTTTCATACTCCTTATGAGAGGTATGTCAGCAGCATCTACATAATTCTCAAGCCGATTCACATCCCAAGTCTTCGTTTCCTGATTAATAAGGTCGCTCACTCTCATGTTAGGATGCAAAACGGGTGCAGATGGTGATGCTGGTCTTGCTGGGATGGTAGGAATCCATGGATCCTCCCAGACCTTTACCTCATAACCTGAGTGTATCTTCTGTCGAACACCCAACAAAAGTAATTCCCGTGCCGCCGATAGACTTGTCCACACATAAGATGGGGAACTAATCGTTAGCTGTCACAAAGGCGAGCTCATTCTATAATATCGACCTCTCAGGACACGAGCTACCAAAGAATCTGGACATTGTACCAATCTCCATAACTGTTTTGCTAACAATGCTAGGTTAAACTCGTGAATCATTCTGAACCCAATCCCTCCTTCCTCTTTAGATAAACATAATTTGTCCCATGTTGACCAATGTATGCCTCGTTTAGGATGATTCGAACTCCACCAAAAATGTGCAATGACACTAGCTAGAGCATCACATATCTCCAACGGGAAAAGAAAGCAGGACATTACATAGGTTGGGAGTGCTAGCAGGATCGACTTGATCATTACTTCCTTGCCACCCTTTGATAACCATCGGCCCGTCCATCCATTCACCCGATTCCTTAACTTATCTTTTAAGTAAGCAAATAGCTTGCATTTGGATCTGCTTATGTCCTCTGGAATTCCTAAATATGTTCCCATTCCGCCTTCATTCTGAATCCCAAGAGTGTCTTTTATCTCTTGCCGAACCTCATGTCATATTCTCTTACCAAAGAGTAGAGGTGACTTATCAAAATTAATTCATTGTCCTGACGCTTGTCCATATTATCTGACCACTTTCATCACTTCTTCACATTCACGAGGCTCCGCCTTACAAAAGAACAGGCTATTATCAGCAAAGAGAAGGTGGGATACCGAAGGACACGCACGCGTAATGCGCATCCCCGTTATCTTCCCTTGATTCTCTGCATGATTTAGAAGGCTAACGAGCGCTTCCGTGCATAGAATAAAAAAATAAAGGGGACAGAGGATCCCCCTGCCTAAGACTTCTCTCCGGAACAATATTTCCTCTTGGCTGGCCACTTAAAAGAACCTTATACTTAACTGACTTGACACACCGCATTATCCAAGTTATCCAGGTTTCCGAAAATCCCATCTCTCTCATCGTGGCTTCAACGAAAGACCACTCCATTCTATCATACGCTTTGCTCATGTTTTTTTTAATAGCCATCCTCTTATTGCGTCCACTTGGTTTGGTCCGTAAAGCATGAAAAATCTCCTGAGCTATCATAATATTGTCAGATATTTGTCTCCCAGCAACAAAGGCTGACTAG